GTAGTTCGTTTTTACGTAACAAATATCTGAAAATTTCTGATAAATCGCATTACGTTTTGTCTGAAAATTCCTGATAGTAGCTTTTCGTTTCTCTGATATTTTGCATACATAGCTGAAATTTCTGAAGTTAGTATTTCGTTTTCTAGGCATATTGGGATAACGATAGAAGTGGTCATATTCTCGGAAACTGGAATTATTCTTTTCTGAAAATCGAATTTCCATTCTATCTGGCAAATTTTTTTTTGAAAACCGAAATCTTGCGAAGCCTACCAATATTGCGTTAGGCATATTCGGAGGTTCCCATATTCTCAGAAACTGGATTTCGTTCTTTTCTGAAAATCGCATCTGTACTCCATTTCGCAAAAAAAATTTTATTTTTCAAGATCGCAGTTTGTAAAAGCCGAAACTTTGCGGAACCTAGCCTAGATCTCGTTCATAGTACTTTTCTGACATGTCCTACTCATAATAGATCGACAGATATACAAAAAAAAAAAAAAAAAAAAAAAGGAAGTTGTCCTCTTTTATTTTTTATTTTATTTTTATCAGTTGATTAGGGCCAGGGGGATGTATTGTTGGGTTGTTTGCCTACCTACGTTCTCTACTCCCACCCACCCCTTTGCATGCATTTCCGGGTTGGTACAGTGACACGTCAGCAGTGCCACGTCAGTAGTGCCACGTCAGACACAGTGCCACATAAGCAGTGCCACGTCAGACACAGTGCCACGTAAGCTGTGCCACGTCAGACAGTGCAACGTCGGACACAGTGCCACGTCAGCAGAGCCACGTCAGACACAGTGCCACGTAAGCAGTGCCACATTAGCAGTGCCACGTCAGACACAATGCCACGTAAGCAGTGCCACATCAGCAGTGTCATGTTAGACACAGTGCCACGTCAGCAACATGACGGGCCTGCCAGGCCAACTGGCCAATGAGCCCATTGCCGACTACAAAAAGTGCTTCCAGGCTCAGCTCGCTGTAATCGAGGCTGAGGAACAACGCCAGTTGGCAGTCAAGGCTGCCCAGCTACAGGCTGAAGAAGCGGCAACAGTAGAGAAGCTGTGGCTACAGGCCGAAGCAGACGCAGATGCCCAGGCTCACCACAAGGAAGCCCAGGATCTGCTGCAGCGGCATGAAGCCACAAGCATCGAAAAACTCAAGTTCTGGCACTTTGAACCAAACGGCGACGACGGAACACCGAAAGAGCAGCATAAGGAGTTTCTCTCCAAACTCGTGACACGGTTGTTGTATGCTTGCAACTACCAATGGTCCGAGTTGGAGAAACAGTACCAGGACCTGACGCAACAGCAGCAGGAGTTGGCAAAGGTCCGCCATACAGTGCAGAGCCACGAGGATGCAACTCGGGCACTCAATGCCCGATTGCTGGACCTTGAACAGGCTGTACCAGGACCAGCTGTTGGGGCTTCCAGCAGTGCATCCTCTAGCCGCCAACTGGAGGAACGCGTTGACCACGTAGTGGAAATGCTCGGCGACATCAGCACCTTCGCTGCGCCGACCACCATCAGCAATCAGCTGCATACCTTGAAGACCGAGATCCAGTAGTTGCAGTCGACGAACGCGGATGACAATCCGAAGATGTACAAGATGCCAACTTTCCAACTGGACAAGTTCAACGACTACACACAGCAGGATCCAGTCCTCTGGTGGGAGGCATTCACGACGCAACTCGGGATTCTGTCTGTCGCCAAGCATGCGTACATCGGCGCCCTGTTCCTGAACTCAAAGGGCGGATGCCAGACCTGGTTGAGCCACCTGGCAACCTCCCACGGCGTCGACGTGCCGGACTTGAAGGACAAAATCACATGGGAGGAACTGACACGGCTGTGGAAGAAGCGGTTCATCGTCGACGACGCGCCGGCACTCGCCATCAACCGTCTATTCACCATGTCACAGGGCAACACTGCAACACGGGATTGGCTCATGGAGTGGCAGAAGATTGCGGCGGTGCCCAATCTGGAATTGGCATTCACGCATCTACACCGTGAGTTCTACAACAGGTCCTGTGCGGCATTGAGCCAAGCTCTTGGTGATCGCGAGCAGTACTCAACCTTCATTGAGATCATTGACAAGGCGAGGGAAATCATCAAGACCAACAGGTCAGCTGCACACGAGAAGTCAACATGGCAGCCAACCTATGTGGAGAAGGTACGACCTGGTCCGCAACAGCAGCACTTCGCTGCAGTCCAGTTGGACATTGGAGATAACCCAGCAGCCACTCCAGCATCAAGTGACGGAGATCAGGTAGCTGTTGTCCAGCCGTGAAGCGACAACAAGTCCCGCAACAATGAGAAGGCGAAATCCGCATTGCAGGCCGGAAATGGACAGCCAGTACAAGTTCCATGGGTCAAGTTCAGCTTGACCGAGGCGGAGTACAAGGTCCGCGGCCGCTACGGCAGCTGCTATTGGTGCAACAGCACCAAGCACAAGACCTCCCTGTGCCAGGATCAGGGTAAGGAGGATGTGCGACCCCGCCTCAACTCAGGAAACTGAGTTCCGCAGAAGGTGAGGCGACTCCACCTTCCACTCCGCCAAATTCGGCCGCCTTGCTAGCGGCCTCCTGCACATCTGGGGAGGATGCGAATGTCGCAGGTTTTCGTTACACTTACGAGGACTATGCTGTCCACTTGGTTCCACCGCTGGATCAACCGCTCCACGGGCAACAATCCATCGCATGCACGGTTTCATCACCATCAGCAACCGATTCGGCAGCTTCGCCGCAATCTATCGCCAGGGATTCATCGTCGTGGTCAAGACTTGAAGTACTCGACCCTCTGACGTTCACGAACTTCCAATGGATGCCCGTTTCCCCGACCGGACAATTGCCGAAACTGCATGGCAATGTGCTCATGGCACAACTGCGGGATTACTTGCACACTGCAGTACCAACTCCGTTGATGGACGCCGAAGTAGAGGTTGTCGACCTTCACGCTTACATTGCGAAGATCGACCGCTGTTCAAGACGCAACGGTACGACGACATCGACGCACCATTGCTATATGTACGCATTCAGATCGGAGAGGCGACCTGCAACGCCTTGATCGATTGCGGAGCATCTCGCAACTACATCAGCCAGGACTTCATGGTACGCGCCGGCCTTGGCCCACGTGTCCGGAGGAAGTCCCAGCCTACGCAAGTCACTTTGGCAGACGGTCATACGCACAAGTCCATCGACCGGTGCATTGACAACGTCCCAGTGTACTTTGCCCCTCACGCAAGTGAGGCGGTGTCCTTTGACATTCTGGACACCAAATTTAACATGATCTTGGGCATGTCATGGCTGCGAAGCGAGGATCACCCGGTGAACTTCTTCCAACGCGCCGTTCACATTCATGATCGGAATGGAGTACTAGTTCCATGCACGGTGCGTCTTCCTCATCCTTCGATCAGCTGCCACGTGGTATCCGCCGCAAGAATGCGAGCTTCCATCATCAGAGACGACATCGAGGAGATGGGGGGGTGTTTTCTCCACGCCCTCCCGCCCCATGACGCTTCATCGACGGACTCACCTTCGGATCCACGCATCACCGAACTTCTCGACGCCTACAGCGACGTGTTCGAAGGCCCGCATGGAGTAGTACCGGATCGACCCATCCGCCACGAGATCATCCTCGAGGACGGGGCCGTACCTCCGCGCGGTTGCATCTACCGAATGAGCGAGGAAGAGTTAAGTGTGCTTCGGGCACAAGTCGACGACCTTTTGGAGAAAGGCTGGATTCAGCCTAGCTCATCGCCATCCGGTGCTCCTGTTCTCTTCGTCCGGAAGAAGAACAAGGACCTGTAGTTGTGTATCGATTATCGCAAGCTCAACACGCAGACAATCAGGAACGTCTGCCCTCTCCCACGCATCGACGACCTTCTCGAGCGACTGGGGGGCGCCAAGTTTTTCTCCAAGCTGGACCTCAAGTCGGGATATCACCAACTCGAGATTCGCAAGGAGGACCGTTACAAGACTGCGTTTAAGACGCGATATGGGCATTTCGAATGGCTGGTTATGCCATTTGGCCTTATGAATGCCCCGGCCACTTTCCAAGCGGCTATGACAACGGAGTTCCGACATATGCTGGATCGTTTCGTACTTATCTACCTCGACGACGTTCTGGTCTACAGCCGGAGTTTGGAGGAGCATGTGGAACACCTGTGCACCGTTTTGGAGCCGCTACGACAAGCCAAGTACAAGGCCAACCGCGACAAGTGCGAATTCGCACGACAAGAGCTGGAGTACTTGGGACATTATGTGACGCCGCAAGGCATCCGTCCGCTTGCGGACAAGATCGAGGCCCTACGAGTATGGCCCGAGCCCACCAACACCACGGACGTTCGTTCATTCATGGGATTGGCGGGCTACTATCAGTGATTCATCACCCGATACTCAAGGATTGCTGCACCTATGACGAGGTTACAGTCGCCAAGGGTGCCATTCGTATTCGATGACGACGCACGCCGGTCATTCCAAGCACTTAAGACGGCCGTGCTCATGGCACCCGTCCTTAGCATCTATGACCCCACCCTACCGACGCGAGTGACTACGGATGCTTCCGGCTATGGCATTGGGGCAGTCTTGGAACAGCACAACGGCGACGAATGGCACCCTGTGGAGTATTTCAGCCACAAAGTGCCTCCCATCAACTCGCTTGATGATGCAAGGAAGAAGGAGCTGCTCGCATTCGCCATGGCTCTCAAGCGATGGCGGCACTTCCTCCTTGGGCGTTGTAGGTTCACATGGGTTACGAACAACAATCCATTGACCTACTATAAGACGCAGGATACGGTGAGCAGCACGATCGGACGATGGATGTACTTCATCGACCAGTTTGACTTCACACCGAAACATCTTCCCGGCCTCTCAAATCGCGCAGCAGATGCACTCTCGTGAAGACCTGATCTTTGCGCTATGACACATCATGCCTTTGCATTCGACGAGGAGGTTCAGCGACACTTCATCCGGGCATATCAGTCTGATCCGGACTTCGCCACGTTGTATGCACAGCTATCTTCGGATCACCCGCCGGCCAGCCATTACCGCATTGCCGATGGGTACTTGCTCCTCCACTCGATAGGCAAGGACTTACTATGTGTCCCACGCGACCGTCGTCTTCGGACTCGCCTCCTTGGCGAGTCTCATGATTCGCGACTCGCCGGCCATTTCGGAGTCAACCGCACTATTGCACGGCTTCAACAGCAATTCCCGATGGCCTGACCTCATGACCGATGTCACTCGGTATTGCGACTCGTGCGAAGTTTGCCGACGCAGCAAACCCCACAACCGCAATCCCTATGGCGAGTTACACCCGATGCCTATCCCACGGGAACCCGATCTCTCCATTGCCATGGACGTCACCGGTCCGTTTCCTCGCGATCGGCTCGRGCATGACGGCATCCTCACGGTTGTGGACCGATTGAGTAAGTACGTGCGTTTTCTCCCTTGCAAGTACTACTCCACGGTTCCCGAGCTGGCACGCCTCCTGCACATTGGTTGGATTTGTGGCCACGGTGTACCAGAAGACATTGCCAGCGACCGCGACACTCGTTTCATGTCGGCATTTTGGACTGCTCTCATGCAGGAGTCCGGCACAAGAATGAAACCAAGTTCGGCTCGACATCCACAGACAGACGGGCAGACGGAGCGGGCATATTAAACCGCTCAAATGATGCTTCGTACGCTCATCCGTGCGGACCAGAAAGATTGGGTTGACCGCCTCCCCGACATCGAGTTCGCCTACAACACTTCAGTGCATCCGACGATCGGCGTGACTCCATTCGAGTTGCACCACGGTGGACGGAAAGGCCGCATCTTCGCCGACCTTCTCCTCCCTCGACCAGCCGACATTGACGCTGCCTGCTCTCCCGCTTTCGTCCGGAAGTACAGGGAATTGCTGACTCAAGCCCTCGCAAACATGCAAAAGGCTCAAGTCCGCGTGCAGCAGCAAGCCAACA